CTGGGCTCCCGCCGCTGCGGCGGAGAAGCGGGACGGTGCCTGAGGGAGCGCGGGTCCTTCACTCAACCGCCACCCGCGTCATCCTGGAGCGCGGTGAGAAGCTACGGTGGTTACTAAACTGAGATTTTTTTTTTTTTCCCCAAAACTGTGCCAGAAGCACCCCCCAGGGGCACACGCTGTTGCCCTTGCTGTAAGGCTGCTGTTAACTCAAGATGCCTCTTCATCCAGGCACCCGCGCGCAAACCCTTGAGAGGTTCGGACGCAGAGACTTTTGCAACTTCGCTCTCTTCTTGCATCAGTTCTTTTCTGATGATCTCAGCACCACGAGGAGAGCACCCAGGTACTGAGGAGAGTGCCTGGGTATCTTCACACATGCTGAGACTCCCAGCCTTTTCTTTACGGGGCTCCTCCTCTTCGCTGACCGAGACCGCAGTAAACAAGTTTCCGGACCAAAGCCAGTGACAAAACACATCCTCCTGTGTAAGAGCTTTGCAGATTTGTACCGTGGATGGGTCTGAATATTTGCTACCCAGGCTGTTTCCAGGTAGGCTCTAGAATGAGCTCAGGTGTGAATATGCTCTTACCAGAGGTTGCTGCTGCGAGCACAAAAGCAGGCGAATTTAGAGTGGGATTTTAGGTGTTTTCTACCCAGTCTGTTTGGCCTGTTTTTACCCAGGCTTCCTGCATGACTATATCTTTTAGCCAAGACACCTCCCTTTTGGTTAAAGGAGCCATGGGTATTTCCAGTTACCTCTGCTTGTTTTCCTCTTGTTTGGACTCGTTATCCTCAGGCTGCCAGCAGGCAGCCAGACCAAGACCAAACTGTTGTTTAAATTGTCTTGGTGTATACTTTAGTCAGAACACGTTCCTATCCGCTCTGTTCCTCAGTCCAACAGTTAGCCTGTACCCTCATAAGGCAATCACACATATTTTCCACTTTGAGCCTACTCGGTCAGCCACCGTGTTCAGAGGAGTCACCCGTAACCTGCTCACACGTACAAGGCCTGAGGTTGCATTTGACTGGTTGCATTTCCAGCTTAACACATGAAAATTTTTGTTAGATGAGCGTGTACATGTTTTGAAACAGTTCCAGACTGTTGCAGTAGCTCCACTGTAAGTGGGTATTTTTGGACAAAGCCTTGTGAATGTAGCAGAACTGCAGTTTGAAGAAGGGAGTTTGAGGACACACTGCTGTTACTCAGATCATCCAGGAGAGCAAAATAGCCTAAGGGAGTACGAAGACTTTAACTTGTAAAAAAAAAAAAAAAAAACACTGCAATATTTAAAGAGTATTACTGACTACATAAAAGCACGCAGTAATGACTCAAAGCCAAGAGCTGCTATATATATATTTTTTTTTTTTTGCATATATATAAAAATATCTAAGTTGTTTAATGGTGTGCTTTTTCCTGGGAGTGACAGCTACCCTTCACTTGGGGGCTGTGGCTTATAAACTCTATTTTGTACAGTTTGCAGGTTTTCTGTAATCACGGATTTCTGCTACAGGAAAAGCCTACACAAAGTGAAGGCTCCCTGGAAGTCAAATGCTTCCTCTGGTTTGCAAGCACAGCTAGCGGCCTGTCAGCTGTTGTGCTGTCTAGCAGTGTTAAAGCTCCTTGAAGTGTTACAAACGGTTTGAAGGAAACTCTGGAAGGCTTTCATGGTATAATTACAGGTCAATACAGAAAGGAACAAACCCCAGCGCTTTCCAACAGTGAAAATTTTCCGTGTTCATTTAATCATCTAGTTTAAGCTTGTTTCTACACAACGGAACGGCCATCTAGTTGAATTATAGTGGTTCGGACTCATTGTGGTACTTTATTTTAAACAAGCACGTCATTACCATTCCCTGCTTTCATGCTAAAAGACTTTGAGGGTTCCAACCATGGAATTCCAGCGTAATTCAGAGTTGTTTCAGTTCTATGACAGAAAATAAATTTCACCAAATTTAGAGGAACCACACAAGTTCCTCAAACACGGTTTTGTAAAACTCTACAGCAATATTTGTCTTGCAGTGCTACCTCATATCCATAAATACGAAAAGAAACTATGAAGCATGGCCAAAGAACTTTAGCAGGAACTTTACGCTATGAGGCACTTACAATCAGTGTCATGTACAGTAAGGTCTAGTGAAAAACAAAACAGAAATACCACAAACAATGGTAAAGAAAAAACATACAGAAGTACTTCCAGAGGAGAAATCACATTATAGTCCACAAGTCTGGTAAATTTTAGGCTTTTAGCATTGTTTCCACTCCCTGATCACAGATGCAGTATTTCAATTTTCAATTCTCTCCTCCAGGTGACTTCAGCTAAAGAAGTCAACGAGGGAACAGATGACAGAAGAACAGGCTCAGATGCTTCTCAGCCTCACAGAGGTCATGGGAACAGATGACAGAAACACAGGCTCAGACATCTGTCAGCCTCACAAAGGGCATTTTAAATAAGAAGGGTTGTTGGGCACACTGACCCCATCTGTGGAACCTTCTTCTACTTTTCATCAGAATGGACTAAACGAAAGCCAGATGAATACAATAACCAAGTTGTGCCACAAGACAAATATAAATCAACTTATTTAAACAATATATACTTTCTATGCATATAATACACAGCACAGTATGTTTTATTTGAAAAATAAACATTTGATTCCCTTTTAAAATAACATAGCAACTACAGTCCACCATTGTGTCAAATCAGAAGTATAACCTTAGGTTGCAAACTGTTCATTTTGGTGGTCAAGCCTTAAAAAGATCAACATATTTGATCTGAAAAGCGCTGCAGAAGTAAGGTTGATATAGAATCAGGTAGAAATACGTAGTGCAGATGTATACCCTTGCTAAGGGTTTGGGGCTTTTTGCTTGTTTTTGTTTTTTTAAAAACAAACCCACGGGGCAGCATACATCGTAGAGAACTGAAGGCAACTGTACCAAAAGCATGAAAGTATTGCCTATTTAAGATGCCATATTAATGTACACAAAACGCTCTTTCCTGTTGCATCGACTATCAGATGCATCGGCTGCTAGTAAACCTAAATTTTGACCTATACTCAAAATAAACTGAGAATTACATACAACTCTCTTCTGTGCCTCTGATTCCCCATTATGGAGTTTTCTTAAAAACTTCAAAATGGCACTGGTGTTTTACGATAGCATACCCTGAGTGTACAGGCACCAAAGGAAACTGAATTCCGTTTCCAAGCTTCTGGCATAAAGGGGAAGAGAAGGAAGACTTGTTCCTTTTTTCCACTAGGAAGAATATCGTAGTGACTTTCAAACCAATATATTCATGTCAGTGTTTAAATATATTACTGTCTGAAAAGCTTCAAGCTTTGTAACAAAACACTTGCTTCTTTCCAGCTGCGTGTTTGACTTTACCATGAGATCTCAGTATCTTCTTTCAGAGATCTGTCTTATCCTCGTAACGACACATACACGCAGCTCTCTGGCTGTCCAGGTATGGTTTACATCCTAAATGTATAACCGCATCGAACAACAGCTGAACAGTTGATTCACACGCTGCAAGCAAAGAAGAGTTCAGTTAAAAGTACTCTTTGAATGGAACATGAAACTAACAGAAATGACTCTGGCAAACTGCAAACGACTTTAAGAAAGCAGCAGCATAGCAAATAGACTGTCAAATGAAAGACCAAACCAATACAGAATCATTTAAGTTTTGAGTAGAGACTTTTCATATGCCAACCAAAATGAAGAAGAAAATTCATTCCAGGTGGAATCTCATCTGTGTTAGAAACATCACTTAGCCCTGTAAAGATGAAAGAGCTGTTCTACCCCCTCACTTTTTGCATCCCAATTTATGCAGAGGTTGCTATCTTTAACAGCAGCTCAACAGAACTGAGCAGATATTCAGCAGTTCTAACACGAAACACTACCATGATGACTTCTTTGCAGTTAAATGAATTTGACAAGTTCAAACATAGGCTTGTTCTAGAAACTGTCTGCTCTCAGTGGGAATACTTACTGTAAAAGTGACATTGTCCAAACAGAAAAGTGTGGTTATGTCATGTATTGCTCAGATACAAGCCAGCCACCAGAAGGAGCATCACATGGCCTGTTACTGAAAACCTAAAATGTGTTCACTAAGGGATAGCACTAACTGCTTCCACTATCAAACTGTATGATTCTAATACCTTACTTCATAAAAGGGAACAATGCGGTATTTTCCTACAGTTTACTAGCAATCACAAACGGTAGGCATTTAGAAATCACCCAGCAGAGCACTGAATAGTCAGCTATACTACAGTAAACGCAAGAATTATACAAGCATTTTGAGAAAGTTTTATTCCATATTCATACTGCTAAATGGGAAGCATTAATTTTTCCCCTCAAGGTTAGTTTTAATCCGGATCATTTTCCTACGCTGTGTCATTGCTTTGCTGTGCAAGTGTCTGGGCTGCACGACAGAGGGACAGAACAAGGCATCTTTTAGCAACAGCATCACCTGATGAAAATGTGGCATCACTGTGCTGCACAAAGATTCTTTGCCAAATAAGCTTGGTTAAAATTGAAAAGCAAGAAAGGCTTTTTCACACTTACCCTGGACACTCTCGGAGATTCCAAGTGTTTTCTGCACATCCCTGCAAATTTTGGAGAGGCAGGACTGGAACTGCTCATCGCAGTCATTTTTTTTATTGCCACAAGTATCGTAGCATCTGTCATGGTGATTGCAGCACTTTGTCATCGAAGGGATACCGATGTCAAACTGTGAAGAAAATCACACACACACACTCCATTGGTACTCCAGTTAAGAAAGATACAGCTGTTGTGGTTTAACCCTGAGCTGGCAACTAAGACCACGCAGCCGCTCACCTCTCCTCTCCGCTCTCACAGAATCACAGAATCACAGAATGGTAGGGATTGGAAGGGACCTCTGTGGATCATCTAGTCCAACCCTCCTGCCGAAGCAGGGTCACCTACAGCAGGCTGCA